TGTAATGAGTATGTCATACATTGGCATTGCTTTCACACACAAGAATACACGAGATAGTAAACTCAGAGGAGTGGCGCTCTCTCCTCGTCCCTTATATTACATTCCTTCCTGTCCCTCGTTCTTTCTGCTTCACTCCCACTAACCCTTTTGTATGTGGGATTCATTGCTGGTCTATCCTTATTTTTACAAAATGTTTATTTCCTTATATTCTTTTGCACCTTGTTTGTTTGCTTATTTTTCACTTATCAATTTACGTACTCTGGAACTCATTCCAAATACGTTCATATAAATCTTCTTTATTCCTTTTTTAAAAAAATGCTCAGTACTCCATTGCCTAAATATACCATAATTTATTGAATGACTCTTCTATGTATGTTTAGGTTGTTTTTAAATATATTTCAGCTAAAAACAATGTTATAATGAACAGCCTGTTCATTGTTAGAGATTATCTTCAAAGCAAAATCCTAGATGTGCAATTTCTAGGTTAAAAAAAATGGGGTGATAATAGGGCTTAATTTCACACTGTTTTGTGAGAATTACATGAGGTACTGCATGCAAGACTTAAGCATGGTGCCTGGCATCTGTTAATAATCAATTAATGTTTCTTATTTATTAGTCATTGCTCCAAAACATGCATTGTTTATAAGGCTTTCTCTGAAGAGATATACCAATAGACCTTCATATTACTTCTAAATGCTAATTCCTCTTCCAATGCAATAAAACATGCCAGGAATAAAAACCATCTCAAACTTTTAAAAACCAGAATGTTCCAGATTTCATCAGCCTGTGAGGTCACAGCTTCATTTTATGCCAAATCACAATAGTCTAAACCCCCATCCTGTATGTCATGAAGAAGTTCAGGGTTTCTTTTCTGTCTTACAGGTATCTACGTACCTTGGGGACTCCTTAGGTGGCACCTTCCCACCTGAACGTTGGTTTGCTACCATGTTATAACATCCAGTTTATCTCCCTCAAAGTGAAGTTCATTGGGCATTTTTCCAATTCTAAGGGCCCCTGAACAGGAGCTGTTACTCTCTCACTCCATCCTAAGGCCCCATCTGAGTTTTTCTGTGACCTCCTTCAAAGATATTTTGTCTATGGGAAAAATAACTTCCTTCAAGGGACCTCTTATCCCTATCAGGTAGCCCTTAAAAGATAGCAAACAGCCCTAGCCGGCTTGGCTCAGTGGACAGAGCCTCGGCTGGGGACTGAAGGGTTCCGGGTTCGATTCTGGTCAAGGGCATGAACCTCAGTTGCAGGCTTCCAGCCCTAGTCGGGGGCATGCAGGAAGCAACCAATTGATATTTCTCTCTCACAATAGTGTTTCTCTGTCTCTCCCTCTCCTTTCCACTCTCTCTAAAAAGTCAATGGAAAAAATATCCTCAGGGGATTAAAAAAAAAAAAAAAAGACAGCAAACAGCCCTAGATTGTGGTATTTAATTTCCATTTTCAACTAGAAGAAAACAAGGGTCCTGGAGGGGAAGGCTGCTCCTGGATCTCTAGCAAGAAATATTCAAGATGAGCACAGAATCATGTTGTGTCAGAAAGCAAGGAAGGTGGACTAATGAGTTGTGTCAAAAGGACACAGGAACCAACAAGAAGGCACTCCCATTGGCCAACGATGAGATAAACTGAGCAGCTAAAAGGAGTAACTGCAATGAATTAAAACACATCGTGTATATTAACATAAAAACATGAACTCAAATGATGTTTTGAAAAAGTGAGAGAAAGCAAACAACCTCATCAGATCCCATTGCAACACCAAGTCTTTTCAGAAAATTGGCACTTAAAAGGAAAGGAATAAGCATTTATCATGTCTTTCCTGTATAAACTGTATTGTAGGGAACTGACATCACCCTAGCACCGTGATCGGCAAACTGCGGCTCACGAGCCACATGCGGCTCTTTGGCCCCTTGAGTGTAGCTCTTCCTAAGCCTTAGGAGTACCCTAATTAAGTTAATAACAATGTACCTACCTATATAGTTTAAGTTTAAAAAATTTGGCTCTCAAAAGAAATTTCAATCTTTGTACTGTTGATATTTGGCTCTGTTGACTAATGAGTTTGCTGACCACTGCCCTAGTTGGTAACAAAAAATTCTTTTCTTACATCAAAATTCCAGTTAATAAATGCAAATGGATGATGGAATCAGAGCATCATGTTGCAACTCCTATGAAATAATTGATTCAGGTAGTAATCATGAGCAAGTGAAGTCATTAGATGAAAGGTTGATGGGAAACTTTATGATGGAGAAGATGAGACTCACTTCTATCCACAATAGCTTCAGTACAAATGGAATGTCCAGACATCCTGTGCTTCCTGCTGGGATGTGATACGATGCCCACAACATTACATCCCAGGTATTGTTGCCCAAATAAATAGAGCCTGAGTCTCATCCAGCCTCAAGAGCTAGATTTCACTTTTAGGGATGTGAGAAAAAGTGAAATGACATTATCAGGAAGCGAAAAGGCAAACCCAGAGTGTGGGACGTTCTCCAAGCCACCCCATTCGATTTCTGAGCAAGTCAATGGCTTGGGTGGGGAGGCGGTGGGGGTAGCGGGGAAGACTGCTGTTGATAAAAGAGGCCTAAGAGATTTAACACTTAATGTGATATGTGTACCTAGTTTGAGTCCTGATTCAAGAAAACTAACAGTATGGTAGCAATGCAGGTTGGAGCAGCCACTATGGAAAACAGGATGGAGGTTCTTTAAAAAATTAAAAATGGAACTGTCTTATGACCCAGCAATTCTACTTCTGGTTATATATCTTAAAAAAAAAACTCAAAGCACTAATTCCAAAGAATATATGCACTCCTATGTTCATAGCAGCGTTATTTATAATAGCCAAAATATGGAAGCAACACAAGTACCCATCAATAGTCAAGTGGATAAATACAGAAGTTGTGGTACATATATACAATGGAATATTACTCAGCAATAAGAAAGAATGAGATTTTATTATTTGCCACAATATGGATGGACCTAGAGAGTATTATGCTAAGTGAAATAAGTTAGAGAAAGACAAGTACCATATGATTTCACTAATATGTGGAACCTAAAGAACAAAATACATAAACAAACAAAATTGAACAGACATGGATACAGAGATCAGACTGCTGGTTACTTATTTCTGTAGATTCTTTTACATTTTTTAAATTGAACTGCATGTTAATAAACACCGACTTTATAATCATGCAGAGTGTGTATACATTGTTTTGGGCCACCCTTTATATATGAATATAATTTTCCTTTTGTTTTATAAGTTTATCTTCTTTCTCAACAATGTGTCACCTTTCCATAGTGGGAAGGTGTTGTGTATCTGTAGAGTATTTTCCATTTCTAAGCTGTTACAAACTATGCTAAATTGAATATCCACATCCCCCACTGGGGAAGTGCCCGCAACCCAGGTACATGCCCCTGACCGGAACCGAACCTGGGACCCTTCAGTCTGCAGGCCAACGCTCTATCCACTGAGCCAAACCGGTTTCGGCTAAGTTTATCTTCTTTCTCAACAATGTGTCACCTTCCCATAGTGGGAAGGTGTTGTGTATTTGTAGAGTATTTTCCATTTCTAAGCTGTTACAAACTATGCTAAATTGAATATCCTCACACATACACCCTTGCATATTCTTGTGTGTATTATTGTAGAAGTGGAAATGACGGCTCAAAGTGTATGGACATTTAAAATGTTGACAGGGACAGGCATGCTGCCCACCTAATGGACTATGCTAATTTACCTGTTAGTTAAAAAAAAAAGGTTTGCGTTTGTTCTTTCAAGTTTAGGGCAAACATTCAGTCTGTTCTTATTTGATCACCAAATATCCTGCCCTATAAGCAAATCTAAATAGTCTGTGCTACTTAATTAAAATCTGTTTGGAAAATCTCAAGTTAGTAAAATTAGATTTAACAATGTTGTCTACTTAAGAGTCTTTGGAAAATTTAATGGGCAAAAATGCAATTGTATGTTTCTGCAGATGATGCATTTCAGGATTTCTCCTTTGAAGTATCAGGAAATACAAAGTTAATCTTGTAAATATTATTATTCATATCTTTTACTTTCAGGATTACACAAATATATATTTTAAAGGCCATGTCTCTTTAAAAAAAAAAACAAAACCCTTTGCTCTTTACCTTTTTTTATTGTTAACTGTTTTCAAGATTACAAATTGCCCAGAAAAGTCAAGTTCTCTAAGGCTTTTCTGTTGATATGCCCAGGGGAAATGTTTGTCCCCAACCCCAAGTTTAATTGCTTAAGCCACTTTTGAAAGGTTTGTGAATGTCTGTCTGGGCAACCAATTTCACAATTATCCTATATAGTAAAAGCCTAATATGCAAATTGTTCCCTCTACCAGGAGTTCGACTGGGGGTGGGACACCTCCCCACCCCCAGCCAACCTCCCGCCTCCCCTCCCCACCCGTGCACGAATTCATGCACCCGGCCTCTAGTATTTCTAATATAAAAATTTCATCAAGCAAGGCAAAAATTGCTCATGGCACACAAATTTGAAAATGAGCAGTTGGTGGTCCCCAGAGGCAACCAATACCCTGGGAGGAGGAGTTACAGGAAAGGAAAGGCCAGATACACCATGTTTATAAGTATGCTCACTTCTCAGGAAAATCGAAAGCCATAGTCTGAGCAGAGCCAAGCCTGTGGCAGCCCTGTCCGTAGTCCTCAGCGCAGACTACCCGTGGACGCCAGGCTTCTTTTGTGTTCCCTGCGTCCTCTCCAGGCGAGTCTGCGTGGTGCAAGGGCGCATCCTCACTCAGGCAGGGATGGGAGTGGCAGCCTCCGCCCCCGCCCCCACCCCCTTCCCGGTAAGGGCGGGCTGGCCGTCCTCTCCGGGAGATGGCAATTGGTAGGTGCTCCATTGTTATGCGACTATTGATTCGCTTCGTTCTGAGGATTCCCGAGGCAAAGTGACCCTCCCTCCGCCTGCCCCCTCCCTTCCTGGCTCCCTCGCTGCTTCTCCCCGCAGCAGGATCCCAACACCGCCGCTTGGAGCCCCTCCTCCTCCTGTTCTTCTGGCTCCGGGATTCCTGAAGTTAATAGGAGAAATAAGGTAGCCAAGGGGACCACATGGAAGTTGTGACAGCTCCCAGCCGCGCACCCCTTTCGTTTGAGCCATTACCTCGCCTTAGGAATTGCCACTGACACGTTGAATGAAGGAGGTCTCCCTGCCAGCCAACCTGCCGGGATGGGCCACTGCTGCTGCAAGCCTTATATCTGCCTTCAGTGCCTGGACAAGACGGTACTTTGCCTTCCCTCTCTCTCCTTCCCTCTCCTCTTTTGAAAGGGCAGAGGGAAAGCCAGAAGCGCCCCTTCTGCCCAGCTCCCCTCACCTGTGTGTGCGCTTTGTTGGTGAGCAGGAGGCTGCCCTTACTGGTTCCAGCGCGCTGGTCTCACCCACTCTGCAGAGCCTTACATAATTCTGTACCCTGCAGTCCCACAGGAACTGTTGCATTTCCCTCAAACAGTCAGGCTCTGCTCAAACATCTTGAAACCCCAGGTGCCAAGAAACCCTTGGGATATTCCCAGTGCATTTTAAAGCACCTGTGAGACCTAAGATATTTTGGTGAGGAATTTAGATTAGCTAGACATGTCCTTCTCCGCCAACTGCTAACTTTGAAAGTTTACTCTTTTTTACAAACAGCATCCATCCTTTAATTTCTATGCTTAAGTGCAGAGCAGAAAGCGCCAGTACAGTCATTCTCTCTGTGCTTCTTTGCATCACCTGGGGTGAATAGCATAGAGGGGAATACTGAGCGCTGGAGTCTGTGGGTGTGTTCCATCATCAGTGGCAGGAAATTCACAGCCAGGGACCTGGAAGCACAATACACGTGAGAATTGTATGACAGTTCCAACACAAAGCCTTTCTTTGTTTTTGACATTTGCCTACGAGCTTGCAGATGGATTAGGATATGCTTTTAGTTTTACTACTAGAAATATGTTAGCCAGAAATCTTGTCGGTGTGATATATTCTCATGCTCACTGGGATTGCTCAAAGATGCCTGAAATGGGAATTAACAAGAGGTGGGAATCATCAGCTATAGAGATAGCTTAGATACAGCATGTGACCAGGTGAAGGAAATACATGGCTTAATATAAAACTCATTACAAGGAGTCACTTGGGAACTCTTAGTTATCAGTCTGTTTATAACTGTGACCTAAAGTCAGGTTATGTACCACGTAGGAAAATTAAACTGTTATTGTTAAACTCACCTAGTACTTTTGTTCCAATAGAAATAACTGTTTCAATGAGTATGAACTAAAATATTTATATACACATTTATATGCTTTTTAACAAAAAATAGAAATATAAGACATTTGCACTCAGATGTTTGCAAATCCAACATTGAAGTGATTAAGCCCTTCTTTCAAAAGGAATAGTCACAGAAAGGCATTGAAGAAAGCTTTATAACAAGGGACAGATTTGCTACATGTACAATATTATGTTCCTATTCCTAAACCTGATACAAAATTTTTAAAAATAGAAGCTATAATTTTATTGAGAAAAATATATTTTAAAGTGAAACCACCTTTTTTGTTTGTTTGTTTCAAATCAAGTTCTTGAAAATAATTAACCCTGTGTCATTCTTTTTAGTTTGGGAAGAGAATTAAAAGTTATTTCATCTCGCCCGCCAGTGTTGCTCAGTGGTTGAACCAGGACATCACGGTTCAATTCCCAGTCAGGACACATGCCTGGGTTGCAGGCTCGGTCCTCCATAGGGGGTGTGCAGGAGGCAGCTGATCCATGATTCTCTCTCATCACTGATGTTTCCATCTCTCTCTCTGCCTTCCCCTCTTAAATTAATAAAAATATATTTTTACAAAAGTTATTTCATCTCTTTAGCAGTGTGATATTTAAGTAACTTTCAAATAATCTAGCTTTGAAACATTTAACCTAATGCAAATTATTTTTTTAAAATATATTTTATTGATTTTTTACAAAGAGGAAGGGGGAAGGATAGAGAGAAACATCGATGAGAGAGAAGCATCGATCAGCTGCCTCCTGCACACCTCCTACTGGGGATGTGCCCGCAACCAAGGTACAGGCCCTTTGACCGGAATCAAACCTGGGACCCTTCATTCAGTCCACAGGCCGAGGCTCTATCCACTGAGCCAAACCGGTTAGGGCAATTTTTTACTGATGAAAAATTAAAAGCTTATACTGCATCTATCAACTTTCTCATTGTGTTTATACCCACATTTCTTGACTTCTCTTTGCCATATTTTAGAATAATATTCTTGATGGAGATTCTGTAGATATGTATTCACGAGCGGGGTGCTCACTTTAGGAATTGAGGGCTTTCTTTTGTTAAATTTTTTAAAAAGTATTGTTTTACTTAGTTGCCCACTTTTCAGGATAACTTCTCAGGCAGTATGCCCAAATCGTCTGTTTAGTCAATGGTTACCTATTGGGCCAGGCATGGTATACTAAGATTATTATGGGATTCCAATACAATCTCCAAGTCTGGAAATCAATACTCCTTTAAATCGCTTAATAAAATCTCTTAGTTCATCACATCGCCATTGAAAGAGGCCTGATAAAAATGTTGGTAAAGTTGTTTCTGGTTACTTTAGCCAAGCTTAATAACCCTTAAAAAAGAAAAAAATAAACATTTCCTCAGACATTATATGGATACAAAATTAAAACCTTAAGTTTGAGAAATAAAAATAAATTTTTAAAATATGTTTTTATTGATTTCAGAGAGAGGAAGAAAGGGGAGAGATAGAAACATCAATGATGAGAATAACTGATTAGCTGCCTCCTGCAGGCCCCCTACTGAGGATCAAGCCGGAAACCCACGCAGGTGCCCTGACTAGGAATCGAACTGTAACCTTGTGGTTCATAGGTCAATGCTTAACCACTGAGCCACACCAGATGGGCTAAAAATAATTTCTTAACAGTTTGATCTTAGTGCAGCTAAAGAGATTCTAAAATGACAATGAGATACTTTTAAGTAATTGGTTTCAGAGATGGGGCCAAGAAAAAGAAATCTGAAAATGCTTCTTCAGCATTAATTTATTGGGAGAAACTATAGAATCTTTCCTAGAGTATAAAATAAATATAAATGTGTTAGATGAACAAATGGTTATTAAAAACTGATTGTGCTTATGTGTTTTCAACTTTTTAAAAACCTATTCATTGACTATTGCTGGTTTACTCCGTGCCTACTTATTGTGGGGACTCTCAAAGAATTCTTAAAAGGCACATTTTGCCCAATGGACTTTAGCAGTAACTTATTTGGTTGCACTACCTTTTCCAGAGAAATTACAAGTGGGGCAGGCAACAAAACAATAGAGCAATTAAAACATTAGTACAATAGTATAGTATAATTAAGTGAGGTTCTGTGGTCCTGATCTTATGTGTTTCTGGAATCTAGTCAAAAGAGAACTTAGTGTGGAATTATAGGCAAGCTTTCTTGTAAAAAGTAGAACATGAATTTCATTTGGAAAAATGTGGAGGAGTTTTCATGAACTGTTGAGAAGGAATGGACTTCTAAGCAAGGAGCACCTGAGTAACGGTGTTTAGCCCAGTGTGTGAAAGCTGCGAGTAAACTCAGTGGGATCTAAGCACATAGGGAATGTGGGGAAATATTTCCCAGGCTGAAAGCCAGACCCAGGTTTTTTAACTTGAGTTAATGAGTAGTGGGGTCCATCTTGGGATTTTTAGCTGTTAAGAAAGAAACATCCAAACCTGTAGAGAATTTTAATAATTTTATTTGAACCAAACTGAAGACACTACCAGAAAAAAGATCTCAAATTCTCCAGAAAATGACAGTTTTTCAGTTTTCCATATGCAACTGTAATTAAGGAGGAAATGTATGGAAGATTACATGCGTGTGGGAAAAAGTAAGGTACAGGATAGTTCCCAAGATTATATGCTCCCTTGAGGGTGGTTCTGCCTCCAAGAGGCCTAAAGAAGAGGATTACTTGCCCTGGCCCAGTGGCTTAGTTAGTTGGACCATCCTATATAATAAAAGCCTAATATGCTAAGTGTCCAACCGCTTGTTCAACCATTTGACCAGTCGCTATGATGTGCACTGACCACCAGGGGGGCAGACGCTCTGACCAGTAAGTTAGCTTCCTGCTGGGGTCTGGCCAATCCAGACCAGGTGAGATGGGCCAGACACACCCTGGAGCTCTCCCGTGGTCCCTCCCCAGCTGGCCAACCTCCCATGACCCTCCCCGGTCCCAGTTGTGCACCAGTGGGGTCCCTCAGGTTGGCCTGCACCCTCTAGCAATCCAGGACCCCTTGGGGGATGTCAGAGAGCCGGTTTTGTCCTGATCCCCGCAGGCCAGGCCAAGGGATGCCACCGGTGCACAAATCCATGCACCGGGCCTCTAGTGTGTTAATATAGATGCACAAGAGCAATGAACAGGGCTTACTTAAGGCACAGATGAACCTTTTAATAGGCCTGGGGAGTGACTACCCACCATGACCTGCTCAGTTAGGAATTTATGATCAGCTCCCCCTGTGAGGTTACTTTTGGACAGATGTATTACAGGGCCCTTTTTTAACCACAGAGCACAGCAGCGATTTGTAGAAAGAGGTGTTCTACAGGTATTTTTAAAGGAAATGCATAATCCAGGAAGAACTTTGAGGCACCCAGATGGATCCCAAAGAGTACATTAAGCTGCAGGCTCAGCCTGCCTCTGGATCAAGCCAGCAGTTCTGCGGGTTCAGACCTCCTTACCCTTAACCTGCCAGAGCTGCTTGTTCTTATGGACGTTGAGTTATTAAGAGAAATAACCTAGATGTATAAACCAGAATGCCACCGTGCTTTTTAACAGTGAAAAACAAGCATATGAATGCTCATCAGCCTGAGAAACATGTTATTTCTCTTAAAGTCAACGTCTAGCTTCTTAAGAAGCTTTGATATAAGAATGGAATCTGAGCCACATTGTTTAGGCGTTGATTTCAAGCCTGAAATCAATGCAATTGAGAGGCTATGTGATTGTTATTACCTTGGTGCCTGTTTTTTCTAAGCTCCCTTTGCTTTGCTTTTTTCACTACAACTCACCTGGCTGGTTTAGTTACCGCTTTGTTTCTTTGGGGTTAATTGGCATATCTCTACCCTAATCTTTTCTGGGTTGCCTATAATGTCAGAGGCTAATCTTATATGCCTTTTCTCTAAATTTTTGGTAGTGGTGGGAGTTGGGAGAAGGCACCTCCTGTCCCTCCCAGGTATGTGTGGGTGGTCTGACAGTAGTGAGTTTGGGAAAGTGACTAGAAAGGTCAAGAAA